ACGTAAATGAAACGTCTTAATACCAACCTGTACACATTGTATAAAAGATCTGGCATAACTTAATTAGCCCAGTGCATAACGCTGCTACGTTTGACTCTATAATCACTCATTATGACACAGGTACCTCCAAAGAGGAACCTTCCGAAGAGGATTAAGTGCACATCCCGCATTCCCCTTACAGCCACTATTCATCATCAGTAACATCAAAATAAAGTCACTAGTTTCATCGAGTGAGGGAGACATCGAATCACAACACTATGTTGCAACACATGCCGATCAAATCCAACCGGTATAATCAACAGTTGAAAGTATCAACTCCTCGTAGGCAACATTCATTTTCAATATATGAAGTGAATTGAGGTGAATATATTTTTAAATTAAGTCCTGTGTTGCTTTCTTGTTTCATCTCTGTTTACCTGTGCTTCTCTCCCTCTCTATCTCTCTCCGTTCATCTTCATTATTCATGTTTATTTAGTAATATGAAAACTATTGGCTTTTGAACATGTTTTAGCAGTGTTTTTAAAGTTATTACTATCTATGAACTCCAAAAATTGTATTCATTATCAGGTGATGAGCTTGAATGACTCAACTAATGCTCGTAACACAATGTAATAATGTATAGTAATGATATACAGTGGCTAACAGTAGAATCCAGGATATGTATTTCGTCCTAGCCGCTGCCCATCATTACTATACATGATTAAAACATAGGCAATATCGAGGCATCCTCACAGGAGCCCATATGCCAACAAAGGCTGATCATTTGGGTCTAATCAACGACGGTGTCATACAAGCAATAATACAATGTAACATTGATAGAACTACTCACATTCTCAAATAAGTGAAAAAGTCAACAACAAAAAACAAAAAATAATTGACCTGGTAAACATGAGAAATTTCATTCATCACTGTAACATAATAAATAACGAGTCAATTTGAACCTAAAATTGTTAATCATAGAATTGTATAACACACATATCAATATTTCAAGTTGTTATTCATCGAAGACTGACATCAGTTGGAGGAACAAAGGAAACCTGGGAGCACTGGACAGCTGTTTCGTCCTAGTATGGGACTCCTCAGAAGTGCGCACCCACGACCCCACCAGCAGAGATCGAACCCGCGACCTTCGTGAGCTAACAGAAGTTGGAAATATGGAGCATTGGATTCTGATCCAGTGGCTCAATGGTAACGTGCTGGTCACGGAACCTGAAGGTCGCGGGTTCGATCTCTGCTGGTGGGGTCGTGGGTGCGCACTGCTGAGGAGTCCCATAATAGGACGAAACAGCTGTCCAGTGCTCCCAGGTTTCCTTTGTTCCTCCAACTGATGTCAGTCTTCGATGAATAACAACTTGAAATATTTCCAAATCTCCACAACCCCCTCAAAAACACATATCAATAGATATGGTTAGATGAAATGATCAAATGAACATTGTATTGAACAACCCTAATGTGACTGAACGCGATTCTTAGAAAATGATATGGAATATTTTTGTGGTTTACCACATTACATTATGTGATACTGTTATAATAGATTGTAGATAATTTGCTGTATTGAACTATTAAACATGTTAGAACCCGTTGCAAAGAGGTGCGTATATACTGCATAAACATTCACTAAATTGTAGTCAATTTAGTAACCAGCAGTGGAATCTAAGGCAGTATTTCGTCCTATCTCTGATACATCAGTTGATTCCATATGCATACCAATGAATGATGGTTTACCCATTCACACTTCAACCCACTACCAACAGCTTTAAACGCCAAAGTGTTATCCACTAGCTTACTGGAGCTACTGAGAAGTTAGAAGTATCAATAAACAATAACTAACACTCGAGATACAAGTTATGACTCTTGTGACCCAGTTAAGCATAGTAATAATAGTAACTGCTGGCAAGATGGATCTGATCTACACGTCAGATAATTTGTATTTAAGCTTATTGCAAACTGAACGTATCATTGATGCTATTCAAATAATTCACCTGAAAGACTTGAGTCACTGATTCTTGTTGCCTACCGAATGAGGAATTAAATTAAGCTAATGGAACATCAAGCCTCATTTTCACTCTTTACACACTGATCACAACACGACTTATTGAAATCCTGTTGTAGACTTAAACTCCTTTCAAATCTACTTGCTTCCTGTACGTAAACCAACTCAATATGTCTTCGATGACTTCATATTCCAGTTTAAAATCTTTGATTGTCTGAGAAGTCTGTAACTACAAATTGGAATATAAATTTAGTTGACCTGTTTGACGATTGTAAAGTGAAATAGGAATACCAGACGTGTAGAACTTCACTCAGCTAAATGTAGATCTTCATACTATCTTGAAGATTTGAAGGAATAATTTCAGACTCCTTATTCATGAGCAAAATATGACACAGATTGTTCTTCTGAACTCAACTTCTAAATATGTTTCACCTGGAGAGACTAAAAGATGCACTGGATTCAAAACTACGACCGGAACAGGCTGGCTGGCTGGGTTCAGCAAGTACAAATCATGTGCCGACCAAATTGCAACACTACACATCATCATAGAACAGAGTATAGAATGGCAGTCGACTCAACTCTACCTCAACTTCATAGACTTTGAGAAGGCCTTTGACAGTGTCGACCAAGAGGTAATTTGGAAACTGCTTCAATACTACGGAATATCGCAGTCCTTTATCAGCCTCATTCAACAACTATATGAAGACGCCACATGCTAAGTAATTCACAATGGGAAGCTCTGTGATGCTTCACTGTATGGCTTAGAGACTTGGTGCATCATGAAAAGCATTTCCAACAAGTTACAGACATTCATCAACAGCTGCCACCTATGCTCACTCGATACTGAAGATCAGATCAGATGGTCAGATGGTCAGAATAATAAGAATAAGCAAGAAGGAAGTCTGGCTGACAACGAACCAACGAAGCAAGAATCTATCACTCAACAAATATGCACTGGAAGGAAGTGGAGATGGATTGAGTCGAGCATACACTGAGAAGGTCGACTGTGGACATCACGTGCCTGATCAGGCCATGTAGTGTAATCCAAGGGGAAATGACGAGTTGGTCGTCCTAGGTGAGAGTGATATGGAGGAGATGATGTGAGGAAGAAATGAGAGGTTGTGGGTAGTTGTGGAGCCAGGGTTTGAAGACTGGAGAGAAGAGAGTGGAATGGAGGCGTGCTACTGACTCTGTATGTTCCACTAGGAACCGAGGGGACAAATAATAATAATAATAAAATAAATTAAAACTCACCTCCACTTCACTTCCACCTTTCATACAAGTGAACTGACAACTGTTTCTTTTGTATAATGGCTGGTGTATTACGTCACTGGCAGCTATTGGACAAACACTTCACCCTACATTATAAAATCCTTAGTTTCAGAAGCTTTCACTCACCTACATTACTTAATCTTATCTTCCGAAAGAGTCAGCACATCATGTGTCATTTCACGTATGACTAGACTCCTGTGCATGCTTCATCTACTCTACAGTATAACCCTTCCACTTTCAGTCAAATAAACTTTCATCTTCTGGTTTCTTCTCAAACGCTACATATCCTAATTGTATCGATAAGATAAAATTTCAATCAGTTTTGAGGATATCATCACTTTCACACTGACTGGATCTGTGAAATTGGTTTGTGTAGTGGTAAACTACCTCTAATTAATGGTGAAACAAAAATGATCAATCTATGAAAACTAAATCACTTTTGGGGAACAAAGCGATGGGGGAAGCGTGAGGACAATTATACCAAGAAGTGGTATCGTTTCACAAAACCACAAACCACTGATTATACTCAGTGAGATCATTGGAATGACTGGTTGGATATTTTGCATCATATGACTGAAATTAGACTTCAACTATACAAATGCAACAACTACACATCTTCATCTAAATCTTGAATACCCATTTGTTGCCTAGCTGACCTACCACCTAGATTGCTATCCCCTTAGTTACAAATGACTCTATTGTGAATGCATCACTAATTCACACAAGTCCCCGAGATGATCTACCACTGCTGCCTTTAACTCTTCAGCCACTAGTATCCACCAATCTTCATCACCGTTGTATACCCTGTATTCTAGTCGATGCTGAGGCCAATTCACTTCCACATCTCTGCAGCACATTGTGATGTGTGTCCACACATCTGTTAACTTGGACATAACTGATGAGATTCATCCACATATCCTCACATTTTGCTCTCACCTACAACCAATCTCCACTACTATTTTACAGACTGAAGATAATCTCAGTCACCATCAGGATTCGACATTTTGTCATGTTTTCGCCCTGATTTCACTTCCCATATTATGATTTTCAAGTTAACTCCTGAAAACCAACAATATTTAGCTATTCTCAGTAAGCAAAAATCAGTGTTGAAATTCATGGATGACTGTTTTCCAAATTGATGTTCCACAATGAACACTAACCCTCAACGAATCAACTTTGGAGACGACTCACAGTGATACATTAGGCATGTGTCTGCATCTGGATGGTCACTGGACGAGACAATCTCTGATATCAAGTCCAGAATCACTCCTCTGTAGGAATACTTGATAAACTGATCAGTGTTGTTGCAAGCTGCCACGATCATTGTATTCATCAAGTGTTATTGTCACATTACCATTTCGGTGGTCATCTGCTTGGTTCGACCTTGTCACTGATGCCTCGAAGTTGCTCACCACGACAACCATATCCATACTTCAAGTATACATTCTTGATTCAGGATGTTGGAATTTTAGGTAGCTCTTGCTATTCTCTCTAACAAAAAGTAAGGACAAGCAGTTTGGAACATAGTTGCAATAGACTGAAAATGCTTTCTACTAAATCTGAATCACAAAAATGGACTACTGAGATAGTAGATGTTGAAGATAAAGTTTAGTTATTAGCTAGAGCAGATGAGTACAACGTGTGAGACAATGAAGAAAAAGCTTGAATATGATCAGTGAAGATTCAACGTGCTATTGCAATTACCAAAATGTCCCACAGTCTTCGGCTACTAAAATCATTGATTATTACGTCTAGTTGAAGTGTCGGAAAGAGCAAGTGAAGCAGTTTCACTTGACTGCATAGTACATTGTATGTCTCCTTGAAGCTGGTTATATCAAAACCTATCCAGGAGTCCCCGTATATGAAAGCTCAATACTGAGCTAAACAACCCTTGTAGTTTCCCCAGTACCCAAATTGTATCCTCATGTTTCAGTCGTCACCTAGAATACCTCAAAACTTCTGACAACTGAATCCCTGTTTATTGAAGCTTAAATATGTAAGCTCCTTGTAATGACCAACTATGTTCCCACGGGTGATTGTAAATCTGTGATATAATTCTCTAAATAACGTGTAACGTATCTATGGACCAGGATTCTAGCTTTCTCCAAATGTATCCACCCTGTCTATTACTTTAAGACTGAAAATTCTAGTCTTCATTTCTATGCCTTTCACCATTTTGATAAGAAACGGCCCATATGGAAATCAAAATTTTAAGTCATCAGCCTCTCAGGTATTTCAGTTTTTGTTTCATTTCGCTGTGTGGTCAGGAAAAACCTTATTGGAATATTTACCCCACAGTTGACCAATTAAAATAAAGTATCGAACTTCTGAATGAATGGTTTCATCTGTTGATGAAGACAGTAGATAAATGATGAATTATTGTCGAATCAGACGTCTTCCTTGCAGTCAAAGCCCAGACCTTGTCTTCTGCTATTTTCGTAGCTGATTGGATTCTAATGAGTTGAGGGAGAAAAATCGCCGTTCGATTATTATCGCTGGTGACACTATTATCATTATTGTTATTATTGTTAGCAGTAGTAGCGTGAGTAGTAGTAGTAGTAGTAGTAGTAGTAGTAGTGTGAGTAGTGGTAGTAGTGTGAGTAGTAGTAGTAGTAGTAGTAGTAGTAGTAGTAGTAGTAGTAGTAGTAGTAGTAGTGGTAGTAGTGTGAGTAGTAGTAGTAGTAGTAGTAGTAGTAGTAGTAGTAGTAGTAGTAGTAGTAGTAGTAGTAGCATAATTAGTAGTAGTAGTAGTGTAAGTAGTAGTAGTAGTGTAAGTAGTAGTAGTAGTGTAAGTAGTAGTAGTAGTAGCAGTGTGAGTAGTAGTAGTGGTAGTAGTGTGAGTAGTAGTAGTAGTAGTGTGAGTAGTAGTAGTAGTAGTAGTAGTAGTAGTAGTAGTAGTAGTAGTAGTAGTAGTAGTAGTGTAAGTAGTAGTAGTAGCAGTAGTAGTAGTAGTAGTAGTAGTGGTGGTGGTGGTAGTAGTAGTAGTAGTGTAAGTAGTAGTAGTAGTAGTAGTAGTAGTAGTAGTAGTAGCAGTAGTAGTAGTGTAAGTAGTAGTAGTAGTAGTAGTGTAAGTAGTAGTGTAAGTAGTAGTAGTGTAAGTAGTAGTAGTAGTAGTAGTAGTAGTAGTAGTAGTAGTAGTAGTAGTAGTAGTAGTAGTAGTAGTAGTAGTAGTAGTAGTAGTAGTAGTAGTAGTAGTAGTAGTAGTAGTAGTAGTAGTAGTAGTAGTAGTAGTAGTAGTACTTTTCATTTGCACTACATGAGGTGGACGTGACTTACCAGACTTGCCTTAGTACGTAGTAATGGCTGAAAGAGAAATGAAAATCTGGGCCATGGTAGGATTCAAATCAACGACCTTCGAGCTATTTTATTTCACCCCTTTTCATGGATTTATAATTATAGAACCTAAAGAGAAAGTTATTAGGAACAATTATTCTTTCAAATTATTCTAATCTTGGATAATTTATGGTCATCTTCAATGAAACAGTGTTTCATGGACACTTATTTGTTTCAACAATCTTATATAGGCAGGTCACTGAACTAGTTTTCTGTTTGCATAGATGATTTTCCTGCATTCATATGACTGTTTATCTGTGAGCATGAAATTGTTGCATATTGTTTTTCCTTATTATAACTAGAGTCTCACCCATTTATCTTCCCCATGCTGTAATAGAGGACATAAGTAGTTTCATGGCATCTTCTTTCAGAACATCTTTACATACGTGGACTATTATCAAAGAGATATATGATCTCATAGCTTTATCTTCAGTCCTGTGATATAACAGTCCTTCGCATGGAAATACTGCTGATGTCTAAGGATTTTACACCACCTCCCGCCGATGGCTACCTTTTGTCCATTTAAATTACTCTCATTGTTCATCCTTGTCTTAAATACGTCCATTGGTATTTCTATCGGCACTTTTGTACATAGACTGTTGACATTAAAGCCAACGAATATTTTCTCCCCAATAATTCCAGTGTTTGTCACGTTTTTCAAATTATCCAACCAACCATTCTTGACTGCAAATTGTCTCGCAGTATACTGGAAAGGAAACTGGATAATTTATAGCTTAGTGGAAATATCACTGAGTGTAGCTTTGGGTGACACTATTGCAAGTATTGGAAGGCATATCAGTTTCCTCTAGGTTGCAGATATGTCTTGCTGACGAGTGCCAATAAGTACAAAACCTAGATCAACTATGGCTTCTTGCCTCCATCCAACCAACATCCATCTCAGTGTAGCAGGACGGTGAGTCTTCTAGACTGATGGCCACATTCCAAAATGTCCGATGGAACCGAAGTGACACAAATATATCCATATATTGGCTTATACATAGATTATTGTGTGATTTATTGAATAACTTATCAAAATATGTCCTTTTCAAGTTGTTATTCATCGAAGACTGACATCGGTTGGAGGAACAAAGGAAACCTGGAAGCACTGGACAGCTGTTTCATCCTAGTATGGGACTTCTCAGCAGTGCGCACCGATGACCCTCCCAGGGATCGAACCCGCAACCTTCAGGTTCCGTGGCCAGCACGTTATCATTGAGGCACTGGGTCAGAGTCGAATGGTCCATATTTTCAACTTCTGTTAGTTCACGATATAGCGCAACCGCCACTCAATGTCATTGTTGAGTAACTGTTCTCATGACCATGAGGCTTTGTCCCCACCGGTCACGACTTCTCATTGGAACTTCGGGAATACCTCTCGAAGCCAGTCACCAATGAGCACCAGTTCAATTGAATTTTGAGGGAATTGTGGAGATTTGCAAATATTTCAAGTTGTTATTCATCTTAGACTGACATCAGCTGGAGGAATAAAGGAAACCTGGGAGCACTGGACAGCTGTTTCGTCTTAATATGGCTTGCCTAGAAAAAAAAGAATTAGGCATAGTGACCTACACCTGAGAGTACTATCCACTTCTCATTGTTTCGCATAACAAAAATCAACATTAGACCATATGAGAAAAGAAAAACAACCTAGAAATCACCCTAGTGTATGAATTTATTTAAGTAAATAAAAACACCTAGAATATCTCATGATTTTATCTGTGCATATATTTCAGTTTTATGTCCAAAATCTATTTCAAAACATATTTTAATAAAGGTAAATGGTGTACACTTCCGTCTTATTCTATATATACAAATAGACGAGAAGGTACTTCCATTGCCTTTTCTAGAATGTATGTAATGACGAAGTTTAACTTAATGATTCCAGTGTATAAGAATAAAAGTTGTTCAAAAATTCCCATTTAAACATTCAATAAAATCAAACAATGTGAGCGACCGAGGGGGTAAAGCCTCATGTTCATGAGGACAGTTACTCAACAATGATGTTGGGTGGCGGTTGCGCTATGTCGTGAACTAACAGAAGTTGAAAATATGGACCATTCGACTCTGACCCAGTGCCTCAATGGTAACATGCTGGCCACGGAACCTGAAGGTTCCGGGTTCGATCCCTGGTGGAGTCGTGAATGCGCACTGATGAAGAGCCACATACTAGGACGAAACAGCTGTTCAGTGCTCCCAGGTTTCCTTTGTTCCTTCAACTGATTTCAGTCTACGATGAATAAAAACTTGAAGTATTTCCAAATCCCCACAACTCCCTCAAAATTCAAAACTATTTCTTTTCAATTAGTTCCTTGTCAATGCCTCTACACTAATATATATGTATAGCATTTTTAAAACGTAAAATTACATATCAATCTAGTGGTGAGAGTTATTTAATGACAGGTTATCAAGAAGGTGATAATTGATCAGGTAATTAAGACAATTAGTATAATTGTTTTTATATCATACCGTCGTTGATTGGACCGAATTGATTGGTCTCCACTGGCATATGGGCTCCTGTGCGGATGCCTCGATATTGCCTGTGTTTTAGTCATATGTAGTAATGATGGACAGTGGCTAGCAGTGGAATCCAGGATGTATATTTGGGACACCCAGCTGACGGGTCCCAAATAGGACGAAATGCACATCCTGGATTCCACTGCTAGCCACTATTCATCATCAATATAATTAAGACAATTAACTAAAGCACAAAATAATTATAGTAGAAAGATGTTGAGAAATTTTAAACAGGTCCTTACATAATTGATATTATATATATATATATATATATATATATATATATATATATATATATATATATATATATATATATATATATAATAAGTGTCACAGCACTATGCTCCTCCATCAAACCGGAATTGGTCAAAGAAAACTATATCCCTCCTGTTCACTGAAGACACAAGCCTTTCAGAATGCACAGATATGCTTCAGGAGATTCGAAGTTCAATAAACTGAACTAGCTTTAGGACGTAGTGACTTACACTACTGGCTGTAGCTGATAGGTCATGCATCATGAACGATACTATTTCATTTCAAGGCTGACTAGTGCAGTCAAGCTGTCTTCAGAACAATCACTCTCAGGAAGCTAACAGAGTTAAGTGTGTAAATCACGTGACATCAGGATGACTCATGCCGGTACAGATAAAAATTCCTTAACCTAATTATGAAAACCACAAATCAAATGTTTTCGTCTAAATCTATATGGTTGTACAAATAAATTTCTCTATTTCGTGATTTGTTGTAATAAATGAGCCAATAGGATTCAGAGGTTGAAAAACATTCATTGATTTATGTAACGATTACAAGTCAAAAATTGGGCTGAAAGCTTCGTTGTGATTGGTGGAAAATACTACATGCAGTTGAAATATTCTTTCCTGTTTTGTGTACACAAATAGATATTTGCAGAGATTCTGAAGTGTTCTATTGTCTATTTGATTATGTAAGTTGTTATTTCGTGAATGTATATGAACATTCTGTAATCGTAATACTTCAGTCTGTGAGTTAAAGTGTCTTTTGGCTTACTAACACACAGTGGATACAGCACAAATAGCCGAATTTGAGAGGTAATGAGTGGAAAATTGAATAATTCAGTTGTTATTATGGTTAATTTTTTAAACCGTCTTTGTAATAAATAATATTAGATGTTTGACTCAGATACTGAAATGTTGAACCATAGAATTAACGGTACATAGTGTCACACAGGTATATATTCAATCATCAAGTTTGAATTTTCGCATTATTCATGAGATATCGCACGCTGACCTTGAAAGGGCACCCTTGAAACAGCAGTACCTATATGAAGTTGTATCCAGCTATCAACATTCTACTGGTCATTACATACACAAGTTCCAGCAAACTGTCATCAGTACGATTCATACGGAATCGTCAAAGATCGGTCAGAGGAATATCCTCCTTTGATATGCGGACTCGAACCTTGAGGCTAAACAGTTATAGTTACCAACAATTGGGTGACGAAAACGACAACTGAAGTTCTTCACTTTCTGAGTATTTTGCACATTTGGTGTATTGTTGAACAAGTAGAAAATATGTTGGTTTACCATTAGACAACACTGAACTATGGATTTAAGGAACATTTTAGAAAGAATTCTTGAAATAATGAGATAATCACTATGTATTTTTTTTACTACAGATATACGCCAACAGTTAACCGTTGGAAGAGAAGCTCAGCTTGTCGCGATTTAAAGGAAAAAAACGAACAAAAAAACAATGGCCGGAAGTTTGGGATTTAATACTGATTTATCGGATTCACATGTAAGTTAATAGTTTTTATCTTCAATAGGATGTCAGTGAGTAGTCATTAGTGATACTCTTATCAGAGACTCGTTTTTTTTCCCTTAACATTTGTGTCTATTATAGCACATTCTGACTAAACAGAAAGTAGACTATGATATAATGAGTATCTGGGCTGTATCAAGGCCTCCGCACAGAAGCCCACCTGGCAGCAGAGGTTTAGGAATCCCACCCAATAGAGCAACGGAGTATTACAACTACCAATGAACAACAACTGATACTCGTTGTAAAAGAGGCAGCTATCGTGCTTCAGTGGCTTAGTGGATAACCCCTACGCGTTTGAAACTATGTGTCCTGGTTTACAGTCTTCGTAGGAGCAATATCATTCACTGAAATGCAGGCACATCCAGCTGAGTCTCAGGTAGCATGAAATGGCTGAAATGCGCATCCTGGATCCCACTGTTAGCCATCATTAGACAACCATAGAAAAGAAACACTTTCATAACTGAGAGCTAAGTGGATCAAGAGGATTTCATTATGATAGGATTTTTGATTTGTATTTTGTCCAGCTAACATCTGGTTATAAGCACTGGCTCCATTCGATCCTTTTGCCATTTCCTAGTATTTATCGGTCTATTCGAGTAGACGCTGAGTAAAGTGGTGCGCATAAGCTCTTGTGTGAGATACGCACTCAGCTACCTTATGCACATCCGTGCAGTATGCAATGAGCCACACCTATTGCACAAGGGCTAGTGATACTACCTGGCTGCCCAAACCTTGGTAAGTGGAGCGGTTTTCGACCCCGTGACCCTATTGTTGTGTTGTATGAGAGCTCACATAATATTTTTGTAAGGACCATGCCTATGGATTAAAATGTCTGGGTGGAATGGAAACAAACTGCATCTGTTCTGACTCATATAAGCCACCGGTAGCAAGGAGCTTGGTGTCAGTATGACAGTCGGTGATGTGGATGATACGCCAAACAGCAATCTTACTAGGGACTTTGAACGCTGGATAGATCACTTCAAAAATCAATTAGGCTAGCCTACTGCTCCAACAAATGTCTTGCGCTCCAAGATCGCAGACGCTAAGCCTTTCAAGAAAGCAGGGTTATGAAAGGAACCCGGATGCCAAATCTCCTAGCCCTATCTACCCAGACAACTTATCCGCAGTCATTTATAAAAAGAGAGACGACATTTTAGTCCACAAACTGGCTGCATTATCAAAATATCTTGCGAAAGTTTGTGTATCTTAAGCACTTTGGCCCACACTAAGAGATCCAATTAAACTCTTTCAAGTTTGATTTTATTCTTCCCAACCGGTTCTTAGTGAATGCTAAATATGGCTGCCTAGTGTAATTTATAGTGGACCATGTTGTGTAGCCGCACCTTATTGGTCTACGCCTTGGATTTCCGACCAGTGAGCCATCGGTTTGAACCACCATCCCATCCATCTTTGCCTGGTCAGCGAAGTAGCATCTTGGGTTCTCATACAGTCAATTCAGCTCATCATCTAACTCCTAAACGTACCAATTTATGTGTCCTTGTATGCTTTTCCTCTCCTGTTGGAGAAGCAGCCATCAAGATGAATTCCGCATATCTTGAAACTAGGCATACCTGCTAGCAAAGAACACTTTGTCCTGCGATCTTTGTGATTTTATTGCGTCCGACCAACAGTAACAACTACTAAGCAATAAAAATACATTAATCTAGACTTCCTGATTCTTAGTTTCCATCTCCCTAATTCGCTAATCTTTTCCCACGCTCATAAAGTGAGATGTATACAAGTCGAGTCGGTTTTCCAACTGGAGAACAAGCTTGGTTAAGAGCTATTTTTCCCGACACTTCTGTATCATCGACTTGCTTGTTTTCGTTGCCTATGTGCAATAGTTATGCTCTAAAACAGTTCGATGAGATTTCGGGTACAATTACTATTTCATTTGATTTGTGAAATCTCGTCTTAAATGCAGAAAAACTTGTAGACCTCTACTAGCTGTCACCACCTAGTACTGGGTGAATGTATTAGTTACCATTCGACTACCGTTTCACGGAAGAAACAAAGTTTTATAACATTCTTTGGCGTTTGCTGTTTAGCCATATGGTGATGAACACGTGTAAGGGAGAAATTCCACCTACTACTGACCAGTTATATGTGCGTACATCGTATGACCAGGTGATATGGAACGCGACACTTGAACTTTATCCAGAGACACGTTGTCCAACAACACTTTTAGCGCCTACCAATGTGACTCGTCAATCCTTAGTGTACATAAATCATGCTGTGTATTTGGTTTCCAAGGACTTCTTTTAGTATGATCTGTTGTATACTGCTGGAAGCGTGCAGGCTGTTGACACTTCCTGGCTGCTCACATCATGAAAGTTCTTTCTGAAGGGTAGCCGGAAAAGAAGTTTTGTATGGCCACATAGCCTATGGGGCATCTGCTTAGAATCGGTGACAGCCTTTTTAGGATCGTTGATATGAGATTCGGTTGTTCTAACGCTGGATAGAAAAAGCCCATATGGTTGGCACCGGAAGACCGCAAGACAGAAAGAGGTATGCTGTTTTTCCAGCCAGACCTCCTATAGAGAAGACACTAAGGTACTCCTGGTCATCCGCAGAGAACCTGGCTCTTGGGTCGCTATTATGGAGTTTCCATATGCAGCATGAAGATAACTACTCTTCGTCTTAACACTATCCAATAAGCTCTTCTGGCATAGTAGGACCTTGTGAAAACAAGCGTCCCAGCCAGTGTACCTTGTTGAGTCCCTGTGGTATGTAAGCCCGAACGCCAAATCAAGATACACACGATTAGTAGTATAGAACCTAATTTTGAAACGGATGGGAGATAACGCTATCGTTACACTAATGGTGCATCAGGTATCTGGAAGTTAACATAAAAATTGCCTTCCTATAATACAGTTTTCTCATATCTAAAATTGATTGAGGATGGGAGAACATGTACCTAAATGGCTTCAAAAGCAAATGGAATGTGAAACAGAGATAAACGCTGGTGGGAGACGACCCTCTTCATCTATAGCTAAACATATAAAAACAGATCACAGAATTGATGTTCAAACAGCTTTCAAAGTTTTATATAGAAACAGTCAGGGACGTATTCTGAGATTTGCGGAAGCCATAACCATACACAAATTTAAAATCAACTCCACCAACATTCATCTGTAAACTGCTTCCAGTCGCACGTGATATACGCATCAGGAACTTTATTGTTTTATAAATTACCATGGTAACTCAGTAATTTTTTTTGAAATCTTACTTTTATCCATGGTTATCTTGGTCACACATGTTGGTAAGGGAGAAGTAAAGAGAAAGAATAAGGAACTTAAACAGTTTTATCTTATACATTCAGATTCCTTGATAAATTTGGATAAAACAAGAAGGAAGAAATTGGTAGAATAAGATTTGGTTTCATTTTATTTCATAACACTCTTCAGCCGCATGCATACAGTCTAAGAGTACGGTGGTTATTAGGACATAAGATATTTTAAAATTATGAAATGAATAATCTTAAGTTGCATAACAAAATCATTGATAATCCACACAATATATGAGAGAATTAACTGTAAAGAGGGGCAAGTAATGTAAGAAGGGAAAAATAATAATGATGAATAAGGTAGTATACATCACTGGCTGGTATCAGTTGGGGAACCATGGAAAGTCTGAGAGCACTGGGCAGCCGTCGTGTCCTATTATGAGACTCCTCACTAGTGCGTACTCACAATCCGGCTACGAAATGAACCCAGGACCTTCAGGTTTCACTGCGAACGCGTCGACCATTCAGCCACTGGGTCGGAGTTCAATGGTTCATAGTCTGCAACTTCTATCAATTCGCGATATAGTGCGACTGTCATCTAGGGTCTTCGGATGGCATCCGCTTCTCTTATGACCCCACAGATGACGGCTTCTCACCAGGACTTCGTGATATCCAACTGGAAGTTTGTCACTAATGAGCACTACACAGTAATATGTTTTTGGGATGGATGGGAGCACTGGACAACTGTTTCATCCTGGTATGGGACTCCTCAGCAGTACACACCCATGATCCGGTTAGGGATTGGACTGAAAACGTACAGGTTTTACCGTCGACGCCTTAACCACTGATAATAAAGAAACTAAGAGTTGTATGAGGAAAACGAAACAGGATCAAATTATATTTGTCAATGGATTGACAGGTTAACCACACTCTCCTTTTGTATGCAAAGGTCAGATTGGAAATGTCATAGTGTAATCAACTCCAGCCATTTCCAGTACGTTTATTGTCTTGAAAGTAATCGAGTTTTCTACCTGATGTCCTGTGTCTACGAGTTGTCGAACAATTACATTGGTTAGAATTCTACTTCATTTCAAGCATAGATTCTTGAGAAGATGTTCAGCAAAGCGAATGGACAGCCTCCTCTTAGTCTTTTCAATGTACTTGCTCTCTCAAGTGCATTTGAATTCATAACTACTCTGAGCCGGATTGTTGAATTGTGACAACATCAACACTAACTTCAGTATGAAGTGAGCTGTCATTATCTCTCCTTTAGTGATTTAATAGCTACTAAATCATGATAAACGACAGAAAGATCAAAGGTCAAGCAGAGGAACAGCGAACAAGAATATCTATGTAGTCAATGATACAACAATCAAAGGAAACAACCAGTCACAAACCAATTTGTCAGGGCAAGTTACTGAGTCACTCACGAAGAGATACTGACAACTCACTTCATACTGAAGTTAGTGGTGATGATGTTGTCCAGAAAAACGATGAAAGCTTCACGATAAAACAACCTAACTGAGAGAAGACAATACAATCAAGACCATCCAGCTAAGTTACAAATATTCTCCACTATTTCAATTCATAACTACAGTTGAAGGTGATAAGAACAGAAGGGTAACTATACAATTTTGATTGGTTCAGCGAGTATATAGTATTGTATACTGCTACAACTTCCACCATAATAAAATGATATCATTTTGAAATAACTTCTTGTTGAAGTGTTAATTTGGCTTAATGGTGTCATTTATCTCACGTGAATCGATTATTTATCTGCTAAAATCTAAAAAATATTCAATGTCATATTATATTATATTATTATTAGTCCCTTGGGTTCCTAATGGAACATAGGGCTTCAGTAGCATATCTCCAGTGAACTCTGTTCTCTGAAATCTTTTGAACCTGGTTCCACGACAGCCCAGAACCTCTCATTTCCTCCTCGCACGATCTCCTCCATGTCACCCTCGCCTCGGACGACCAACTCATCGCCTCCCATGGGAGTTCCACTCGAGGACATGGCGCATGATGTCCCCAGTCGGCCTTCTCAGTGTATGCTCGACCCAATCCATCTCCACTTCCTTCCAGTGCATATTTGTTGAGCAATAGGTTCTTGCTTTGTTGGTTCGTTCCCAGAGCTCCTTGTTGCTTATTCATTCTGGCCATCTGATCTTCAGTAGCGAGCCAGCGTAAGCAGTTGTTGATGAATGTCTGTAGTTTGTTGGAAATGCCTTTCGTGACGCGCCAAGTCTCTGAACTATACAGAAGCACTGACTTGACTGAATTGTTGTTGAAAATCCGGATGTTGTTCCACATGCTGAATGCAGAAGATCTACACACTGGTTTCAGGCTAATGAACGCCTGTCTTGCTTTTCCGATTCTGGCTAACTTTGACATCCTCGTCTGTGCCGCCTGTAGTTGAAACAGTGCTGCCTGCCTAGATAGGTAAAGGAGATTAATTCCTTTAAGTTTCTCCCGTTGATGGTGGTTGGAGTTTGTTGTTGTTGGTTGGGTATCTTCATCACCTCTGTCTTCTCTATATTCACTTGAAGTCTCATCTTCACTGCCTCATCTCTTCTGTCAACTTGTTAGTTTTCGCCTGTAGATCTTCAAGTTTATGTGACATCAGGCACAAGTCATCGGCGAAATCCAAGTCTTCTAGGTTCTTTTCCACAGTCCAGCCAGAGTGTCCCCCTCTTCTCGCTGCCCACTGTTTGTTGCATGATCCAGTCGACCACAATCAGGAATATAATGAGGGATAGTAAGCAACCTTGTTTCACTCCTGTCTTCACTTCAAAGGTGTCACTGAGCTTCCCATTGTGAATTACTTGGCATGTGGCATCTTCATATAGTTGTTGAATGAGGCTGATAAAGGTTTGATTCAATGTCATAATAATGATAAATGTACTGATAGATTCGATTAATTAGTAAACAGATTGCAATTGAGTGTGTTTTTACAGTGTATTCAATACTCTTCTAATTGAAATAGTTGGTAAATTGAACTCTACATCATATGAATGATTTATATTACACATTGGTGTAAGATTTTAAAAAGTATACTGTATCAGATAGACTAGCCTAAGGTTATTATATTTACGATGAAATAATTTAAATGTGTATATACAAGCTGTTAACATTATTTATTGGATATTGCCTTACAATACCTTCATATTGTAACGCGAAATCAACTCAAAATACGCCGATAATTAAGAGAAAGAATTTGTCAATAACTCCCATGTAATGTCAGTTATTCGACTGATCCTACCACTCTTACGTTTATATATGAACAACTTACTATAGTAATGATGGGCAGTGGCTAGCAGTGGAATCCAGGATGCGCGTCCTATTTGGGACTCGTCAGCTGGATGTACCTGCCTTCCAGTGAGTGATGTTGTTCCCACTGGGACTCGGGACATTCGCATAGGAGCCCATATGTCAACAGAGACTGATTATTTGGGTCCAGTCAACGACGATGTAATACAAGCAATAACACTGAACAACTTACTGTTAACTTGTTTTTTTATAAGGCATCAAATGTTGTCTAGTCAATTAGTTTCACAGAGTACATTGATGAGAATCTCTCCGACTCTTGTAGATTCCTAAAGGAAACCACCTTCAGGATAGTTCACCTTACGGATTACGTAGTAATTTCACATTGTATTTTGATAACCATTTCTGTTTGAATTTCTGTAAACCAACAGCTTGGAAAAATAATTAATTTGTTTAAATTTTTCGTTGTATATCTTTTATTTGTTTTCAGTTATGCCCAACTTTATTACCTTCACCAAATTTTAATGCTGAAGAAGATTGTGAAAGATTACGAAAAGCAATGGCTGGTTTAGGTACAAAGGAAAAAGAATTAATCGAGGTGATGGGTCATCGATCTTCAGAGCAACGTCAACTTATCGTATCAAAGTATCGTTCTTCATATGGGAAAGAATTACTTTCCAAGTTGAAATCAGAAATTAGCGGACATTTTTATGACACTATGGAAGCATTATGTTATAGTCCAGCAGAATTTGATGCTCATGAATTGTATAAAGCTATGAAAGGTGCTGGTACAGATGAATCAGCAATAATTGAAATTCTCTGTTCCCGTTCAAATCATCAGTTACAGCAAATTAAAGAAGCTTATGGACGTTGTAAGTATGTAAATATCTTTGGAAGTCGCACTGTAAAAGCAAACCTATGTTACAATTTACTTATTGGTGGTGGCTAGTAGTAGGATCAAGGATGCGCGTTTCCCCGTACTTGGGACTCGTCAACTGAATGTACCTTCACTGCAGTGAGTCATATTGTTCCCGTCGACATTGGGACCAAGCACCAATCGCTTCAGATGCCAGAATGTTATTCACTAAGCCACTGAGGTGTAGGAACCAAAGCTATACTAAGCATCACGAAATAAACACGCATGTATAAGAGATATATTGATTATATGGTTCATGATATGTGCAAAACCTGACCATGCGATGGGCTTACTGAAGAAGATAAACATAGCTCAAAAGGGCATTAGTCTTATTTGTGAAGAAGAGAGGAACAACCAGCTACCACTTTTAGACATTGCCTAATCGATGAGAGGTTGGATGGCTCGATCAGAAAGTCGGTCTATAGAAAGCCTACGTGGACAGGGTAATATCTTAGTTGCCATAGCTACTGTCTAGTCCAATATAAACACGGTTTAGTTAACTACTTATTCAACAGGATAGATGGCATCTGCACCAATGACATCTTCATCTATTGCTAAACGCACACTAGGAACCAATCATAGGATAGATATGAAAACAGCTTTTAAAGTATCAGATAATAAGTAGTCAGAAGTGAGTACTTAAATTTATCAAAGCTCTGGCTATTGGTAAATTCGAACCCCTTTATGTATACTGACGTCAGTACTGATTTGAATTTTCATGCCGAGTGGCGTGATTTACATTTTGTTTTTGTTCTCCCCTTCCCTTTGATCTTTTTCGTAAATTTTTGACAAGTTCATGTGTATGATGAGATGTTCGAAATGTGTATATAGCACTAATACAACATCACTTATCTTTCAGATAATCTTCGTCTTTCCATTGAACTGTTTAACTACTCACATCTTTAACTTGTGGTGGGAAACTCTCTCACCCAGCATGTCAACTTTAATATTATAGGTCACTGGTGTTTTGACATGAAATCTTTATTCATATTTCTATTGGGATTAGTTTTAGATACATAGGAAGTGATAAGTGGATTTTGACGAAAATCAAGATCACCATAGTTTTTCAACTGTTCACCTTCAAATTGTCTCATGATAAAATCTAATCATATTGAAATCTGAGTTATAACTATGACTGTGTACAGATTTACTTCTCAAAATTCATTTGTAAGTAACACAATGCTTAACTTATACAAATTCAACCAGGTAAATATCGTTCTTAGTTGGTTGGAAGACGTCGGCAGGAAGCTGTGCCTTACTTCAATTTCATGCTTAACGGCACTCATCAGCAAGGCGTATCTGCAACTTCGAAGGAACTGATGTCCCACCTGAGATTGCAACCTGCTTCACACAGTGTTGCGGTCAGAGACATTACAAGTGGGCTATTCGAGTATCGGTTAACCTCATGTAGGATTGCATTAGATCTATCGATTAGTTACTGGAAGCTAACCAACTTCATATAGTCTAGTCCTAAGTGGTGATCGAATTCTATCGACTATTTTACTGTGTGGTGGTGCACCAAGTTGATGGATTTTCTCCTTTGGCTTACTTTGATATTTTCATGCGGCTGTTAAGCTGTTAGCTCTAGAAAATGCATGTCTAGCCACAACCATTTGTACATAGGTGTAATCGTTGCTTCAAGCATCTAAAAGTGTGTTACGAAAATGCTCTTATGCATGCGTCGCTAGTTCGAACCTCGGTATGGTAGTATTTGCTTTCAAAATTGTTACATTTCACATCAACACGTAAATAATCGAATTGACAAAAGTGAAAACAAGAAGAGAAGCAGCTAGTAACTTTCTTAAATAATCATATCATTTCTATGAATACATTATTTAGAGCTAAAAAATATGTTTATTTTACTGATTTCAGTGTTTTCTGGACATAATCTTGAAAAAGATATTGCCAGTGATACTTCTGGAGACTTTAAACACTTATGTATTGCACTTCTACAAGCAAGTAGAGATGAATGTACAATTGTTGATACACAACGTGCACGTAAAGATGCTGAGGAATTATATAAAGCAGGTGAATTAAAATGGGGAACGGATGAATCAAAGTGAGTTGAACAGTTTTTATGCATTTTCTGTCTTGTTTATCTGTCATCTAGTCACTTGATACAGCGTACATGAAAACCATTTCTACACACAATACATAACTGACGGATATACAATAGCTAGAATGATTACTCAGAAGTTCTATGCTCATATTCACTTAAACACTTGAAGAAAATGAATGAAATTATCAGAAATTAACAGATATTTCATGGAAAATGTATTATGTATTTTCTCTCTCCCTTTTCTTGTGTTCATAATTGTTGTATATAACTTGTTTTAGGCAAGCACTTCCGCTCTTGATTGTATTGTATTCTCTGGACTGGGTTGTTTAATCGTGGAGCTTTCATCATCCTTCTAGATGACGTCATTAGCACTACAGTACGACGTGAGTTGTCAATATCTCTCCATTTCAACGCCAAGATATATAAACAGATGAAAGAAACTCCAATGGGATCACCGATATCCGGACTTATTGCAAAAGCAGTGATACACAGACTGGAATCCATCATTCTACCTATGATTAAACCGAAAATTTGGATTCACCATGTAGACAATACTTTTGTCATCACTAAAAAGATGATATAGAAAACACTCACAGTTTGATCAACAACATTTTCAATGATGTTCTAGTCAGTAGGACAAATGCCGGAAAGCTGCAAACCGCCTTGTACAGAAAGCCAACACACAGTAACTGATCAAATCCTCAACTACATTAGCAACAACCCAACAACGCACAAAACTAGTTGCATGCAGACTCGATTCAGAAGAGCAAGAACACACTGGAGTACAATAACTTCATGGAGAAACGAAAAAAATTACTTCATATCCATCTTAAAGAAGAACAGCTATCCACGAAACTTTATCGGAAGATGCCTATCCCGTACATCATCAACTACAAAGCCAATGACACAAATCAACAAACGCTTCATCCTACCGCACATAAAGAACATATCACAAATCATGACAAGATTACTGAGACCACATGGAATTGGTGTGACCCCTCATAAACCAATAGATTCCCTCAAAATCCTACTATGCACACCAAAGAATGCAACAAGCAAAGAAGACAAACCGAATATCATTTACAAAATCAACTGCAATAACTATAGTCAACACTACATTGGACAAAGTGGTCACCCTCTTCACCTTCATCTACATGAACACTAATTGGCTATTAAACGGCACACACGACATTTCATCACTCATCGCTTAATGCACGTGGATAACAACTATGGACATGAATTCAATTTTGACAATGTTGAAATATTGGACAGAAAGAGGAAACGCAAAGAACATCAGGGAATTCCTAGAAGCTTGGCACTCAAGTCAGTCAGTCAGTCAGCCAGCAATCAATACATGTATAGACATAGACCCAATCTATCAACCGATGAGAAAAATGATTAACGACAGAAAGGTGAGAGGTGAAGCAGAGGAATAGCGAACAGGAAAATCTGTGCAGTCAATGACACAACAATCAAAGGAAACAACGAGTCACAAACCAATTTGTCACTCGTGGAGAGATATTAACAGGTCACTTCATGCTTAAGTTAATGATGGTAATGTTGTCTAGAAAGACGATGAAAGCTCCACAATTAAACAACCTAACTGAGAGAACACAATGCAACCAAGACTATCCACGTGAGCTACAAATATTCCCCACCATTTCAAGTACTTCCATTTTTGTGGTAAGTGATATGGCATACTTTCACTGATAGAGTGGACTAATAGCTGTTGGTGAATGCAAGTACAATCAAAAATGTAACTCAGTACGCATACATATTCTGTGCAAGCTGATGGTACTACCTGGCTGTCTACATCTTGAACTTCGATGTCGTCACTGAATGATTAGAAGAGTCTAAATTAACCAACTTTACGATGTAATGTGGTATTTGGAGCAAATCACGTGATTGGTGGTCGTCAACATGTCTTATTTTCCTGTTCTTCTTCCTTTAATGTGTCCCTAATTGGCGTAAACACTGGAGTGTTTCACGTGGTAAACACCTGTCTTGAATTCAGCTCAATTTGCCGAGGTTAATACAGGAATCAAGTAGTCTAATCAATCGTCACACAATAGATGTGGTTTATATCTTGATCCACTAGATTGTGTGTGGTGTTCGGGTTGTATGGTATTTTATTTGATTTCTATGCTCTGTTGTTGGTTGAATCGCTATGATCAGTCTCTGTTAGCATATAGGCTCCCCTATGGATATCTCGATATTGCCTGCATCTTCATTGTCATTATTTACCTGGTGGCGGCTAACAGGGGAATCCAGGATGGGTGTTTCGTCCTATGTGGAACTCATCGGCCTGGTGTACTTACACCTATCTCAGTGAGTGGAATTGTCCCCACTGAAACTCGAACCCAACATATATGGCTCCAAACAGAAAGGCGTTTTCCACTAGACTACTACTATCTGTTACCAAGCAAACACTTATCTCCTAGTCGGTAAAATTGTCCGTACTAAGACTCTAACTCAGCATCCATTACTTCGATAGTTCACTTGTCATGTAGTTGCAGTAAGCATTCCTTAGGGATGAGTTGTAGTATGATATTATCGCCTACTTCATTTTCGGGACCGTATTCATGGTCAGCTTCTACTTGAGTATTGGCAATTAGTCAATCTTAACTATAATTAAAACATTTTGAATAGGGACTGGCCATTGTAACTCAGTAGCCCAGTAAATAAATAACACTCCAATCTTTTCATAGTGATGACCTCTTACTTTGAATCCTAATGAGAGCTTAAGCGCTCACTGTGATGTAGATAAGTTTAGTTGATGAAATACAAATATTATTAAACGCTCATCTTGAAATTTACTGTATTCGAGCAAGTAAATGGTATGATACAATAGCTGAATACCATGGATTTTGCCCAGATAAGTTGCATAGTGACTTTGAATTGCAAGAACTGAAATTTACGACATATTCAAGCATATGGATAAGTTTTGCAGCTAATCCTCCCTCCACAAAGTCAGCATAAGAGGCCAGAAAGGAGACGACCGAGAAAGAAGTTAATGTTAGCTGATGGCTTAAGTAATCAAGTAGAATTTTTTTTGATTTTTGTAAACGACTATCAATATAGTATAATTTCTTGTACTATACCGTTGCGGATTGGACCGAATTGAACGGTGTCTACTGGCATAAGGGCTCCTATCCATCATTACGATAATTGAAACATAGGCAACATCGAGGTATCCACACAGGAGCCCATATGCCAATAGAGACCGATCAATTCGGTCCAATCAACGATGGTATAATGCTGGCAATTATACTAAAACTATACCCGTCGCGCAAAAGTGGCTATCGTGGCTTGGTGGTCTAGTGGATAACGGTCTGGCGTTTGAAGCGATCGATCCCGAGTTCGAATCCCAGTGGGAACATCATTCACTTGGAGGCAGGTACATCCAGCTGCATAGGACGAGATGCGCATCCTGAATCCCACCGCTGGCCACTATCCATCATGACTATCAATATAGCAAACGAAAATTCACCACTTTATTTAACAAGTCCATTAAATGATTTGATTTGATGAAGAGTATGCGCAGATGTTTATCAAACTAACAGAATATCATAAGGGTTTAACCCGTTGGAAAACTATTTTCCCTGTAAATTAAGTTCGTTACTTATTTACGGGCTACTTTACAAGGCTACTCTAACAACTGATGAGACTAGCCAATTACATTCCTGTATTTTATGGAAAAGTACTTTTCTAGGTGAAATACTGAAGCCTGATGATTGGTCATTTCAGCAGTTGCTAGGGTTGGCCTTTAAAGTCACACCTTATTCACGCATGTTACAACTGGATAAATACGTTGACCTTTGAAGAAAGGTCATTCACTAATTCACTATACATCTTTATTCCATGAAATAAGTTCTGTTAAGCTTTAACTTTGAGTTGAAGGTATTGTTTTTTTTTTCAGTTACGTACAATCTTGTTTAAATTGTGTATAAATCTTGATGACCTTTGTTCATTATGTGTGTTCAAACAAATTTGAATATATTTAGTGTTGAAATAAACATACACTTGAATTAATGAGAACTTTAGCCCTACGCTTATCATCTTTTTTGATAATCTTATATTGGTCAGTAATAAATCTATTTCAGATTAGATACTTGAGATAAACTTGTAAATGTTATGGTAAAGTTTTCATCCATATTCATGCTATTTAAGCGGATATATATGGATCATCATGTTATGTGTTGGCAGGCTTCAGGAAGTACAAATCATGCGCAGACCAAATTGCAACACTACACTACGCATCATCATAGAACAGAGCATAAAATGGCAATCAGCTCTCTACCTCAACTTCATTGACTTTGAGAAGGCCTTTGACAGCGTCGACCGGGAGGTAATTTGGAAACTGCTTCAATACTACGGAATACCACAAACCTTTATCCGCCTCATTCAACAACTATATGAAGATGCCACATGCCAAGTAATTCACAATGGGAAGCTCAGTGACACCTTTGAAGTGAAGACAGGAGTGAAACAAGGTTGCCTACTATCCCCCATGATATTTCTGATTGTGGTGGACTGGATCATGCAGCAAACAGTAGACAGCGAGAAGAGGGGGATACGCTGGACGGCGGAAAAGAACCTAGAAGACTTGGATTTCGCTGATGACTTGTGCCTGATGTCACACAAACTCGAAGATCTGCAGGCAAAAACTAACAAGTTGATAGAAGAGGCAGCGAAGACGGGACTTCAGGTGAATATAGAGAAGACAGAAGTGTTGAAGATACCTCACCACCACCAACAACAACAAACTCCAATCACCGTCAACGGGAGAAACTTGAAGGAAGTAACCTCCTTCACTTATCTAGGTAGCACGGTTTCAACTACAGGTGGCACAGACGAGGATGTCAAAGTCAGAATCGGAAAAGCAAGACAGGCGTTCATTAGCCTGAAAACAATGTGGAGATCTTCTGCACTCAGCATGTGGAACAAGATGCGGATTTTCAACACCAATTCAGTCAAGTCAGTGCTTCTGTATAGTTCAGAGACTTGGCACGTCACGAAAGGGATTTCCAATAAACTACAGACATTCATCAACAACTGCTTACGCTGGCTCGCTACTGAAGATCAGATGGCCAGAATGAATAAGCAACAAGGAACTCTGGGAACGAACCAACGAAGCAAGAACCTATTGCTCAACAAATATACACTGGAAGGAAGTGGAGATGGATTGGGTCGAGCATACACTGAGAAGGCCGACTGGGGACATCACGCGTCAGGCCAGTTGCTCGAGTGGAACCCCCATGGGAAGCGACGAGTTGGACGTCCGAGGGTGACATGGAGGAGGTCGTGCGAGGAGGAAATGAGAGGTTCTGGGCTGTCGTGGAGCCAGGTTGAAAAGATCTCAGAGAACAGAATTCACTGGAGACGTGCTACTGAATCCCTATGTTCCACTAGGAACCCAAGGAACTAATAATAATAATGTTATGTGTTGGTACCCACGTCGAATAATGTACATTTCATAATGCTTTTGAATTCACTTTGGTTAAATTAAAAACCAATTTGCTGAACCATTGTCTATGCATCAAACAAAACAACCATCGTGATAGTAACGATATTTTGCTTTTTTTTTCCTTGGTTCTTTTCTATCCATCACAAGAAACTTCAAGAAAAAGGGTGGTATATCAAGATTCACAGTAGACATACCACTTCTTGTGCAGTTCACGCTTCATATGTGATTTTAGCCGAGGTAAGATCGGTATAGGAGTAAAACTTAGCTAGTGTGCTAGATTGTAATGCCACTTTAGTCTGTTTATTAGAAATATCACTCAGTGGAACAGTATTATTTACTGGATAACGTCCCGAACACAATTTATTGTCCATATTCACACCAGCAGGTAACTCCACTATTTTGAGACAAAGTTTATACATTTCAGGTTGTTATTCATCGTAGACTGACATCAGTTGGAGGAACAAAGGAAACCTGGGAGCACTAGACAGCTGTTTCATCCTAGTATGGGACTTCTCAGCAGTGCGTACCGATGACCCTGCCAGGGATCGAACCCGCAACCTCCAGGTTCCGTGGCCAGCATGCTACCATTGAGGCACTGGGTCAGAGTCGAATGGTCCATATTTCCAACTTCTGTTAGTTCAGGACATAGCGCAACCGCCACCCAATATCATTGTTAAGTAACTGTCCTCACGACCATCAGGCTTTGACTCCACCGGTCACGACTTGTCATTGGGACTTCGGGAATACCTCTTGAAGCTAGTCACCAATGAAGGTTTCTATAGTCCTAGTTCTCTCTCCTTCTTTGCGATGACATGTGTAGTAGAATTTTTCATATCTGTGGGAGGGGTGGAGAATCATTTTTATCTACTGCATGTGTTAGTTGTTGGTTCGATAAGTAAAGATACGGTTATCAATCTATCCCTCCATTCGACTCAGTTAGGTTTTAATACTGTTGCCCTATCTCACCGTATTGTATGATTGTATGTGATTGCGTACAGAGCTATAGCCGATATTCACTCTAAATTCCTGATTATCTTACTAGGATCTACTAATCTTGATTTAGCTAAGGTTTTGCGCTTTGTTGTTTTAATTGACTCTGGTCAACTACTTTGACCGATGTATTTGACCTCACAATCATTGTAAGGGGTTTGGTACACCAAATTATTCTACCTGATTGAATCGTTAGGATCTTCTAACCTACAAAGCTTGTTTCTCAGTGAGTTTGTTGATTTAAATGCCACTTTAATCCCAGGCTAACTGAGAATTCTTCTAATACTTCTAAGGTGCCTTCGTTGTATGGTAACACAGCAGAGGCTTGGGATCCCTTCTCAACCCTGTCTCCATATTATTAATACCATCATTACTACTGCTCTGATTTTTCTTTCTACTTCTTATGAATTAATTGATAAACTTAGGCAGGTAACTATTGAGAGCGAAAGGATTCTTGATGTGTCCAATTTCTTGTCGTCGACTTTCTGTCCTACTAGTAAGCTTTATTGCCCTATTACTTAGACATTCAACCAAGCCAACGTTAACTGAGATAGGATAAGATGATTTGAAGTCTGAGTAGCGATTCGAATTGGGAAGGTTTACTATAGACACTAGTTTGTAGACTTCCATCTTGCTTTCATTTAATCTTGCAGTCCAACATTGCTGTCTCACCTCCATGTCTTTCTAAGTCATAGATGAGTTGGATTGTGTTCACTACTCAATTTATGTATAAACATACGCATAAATTCACATATAAATGTTTGTTTATAGAATCTACAGAAAATGCATACAATAGGGATGATTGATTCTGCACTTGTCACAGATATATCACAAATCCTACTACCCATGTCATCACAAAGGTGGTGAGGAAATTAGGACTTTATAATGGATGTCTCAAAGTCTTTGAGTTACTTGATACCAATATGGACAATAAATTATGTCCGAAACGTTATCCAGACCTGGTTGGAAAAATCCCCAGGGTGGCCAGATCAAGGCTTGACACAAGTCCATTAGATCTTCTACTCTTGGTCTGAGCTGTGTAGACACGACTGAACTGTTTGTTTCTAGGATCCTCAAGAGGATTGTTAGAAATCGGTTACAATGGCGCAGATGTTTTCACTCTTTCATATTTAAAGCATTTTTATCAGCTTCAACCTATTCATCCTCATGCGCTTCCGCCGTTCACTATCATCCGCTTCTTCTTATGTTATTGTGAAGTGTCACAGCTTGAACTGATGCACTTCTGTTGAAGGTTCCACTTGAATATGTCTATCTACTTTGTTCATGTTTCCTTGAATTTTCTCTTTAGAGGCAATGATAAGTTTAAAAAGCGAAATCAAGGATTCGAAAACTGAATCAAAATGCACACAACAACCTCGTCCACATTCGTGCAGTTGGTAATAAGCCACACACATATTTTATGAAGGCTACTAGCCCTGGCTGCCTGAACATTGGTAGATAGAGCAGTGTTTCTTACTCGTGACGTATTGGTTGAAAGTCGTCTCCCTAAATCAATGACTCATAGCTCTACCTGTGCTCAATAAGAATATAAGCAATTTGAACTGTATGAGATTTAAACTTTTGTCACACTATTCAAGCTTTAAGTTACTCATGATTTTTTTGACTTAGGATGGCTACCCGTCGTTATCGTTTTTTGTCTTGTTCCCATTCATCTTCTAGCTTATATTGCTAATTATTTATGAGAGAGAGTTACATGATATTCCGGTTCTCTATATCTTCAAGTCAGTTAATATGATGAGATTTTAGCTTACTCCTCAAGAGTATTTAACGTATAGTGAATACTTTCCCTTTTATTTTGGTTGGTAGTGGCCAGCAGCGAAATCCGGGATAAGCGTCTTGTCCTATGTAGAACCTCGTCTGCTGAATGTACCTACAGCTCAGTGGCTTAATAGATACCGCTTTGCTGTTTGAAGCTATACATGTTGCGTTCGAGTCTAGGTAGGAACAACTTCACTGGGCAGAAAGGCTTAAATGTGAGCTTTACATCTGTTGATGTTCATCACAAAGACGTTTCTGCATCCCTGAAAAAACTAATATCGTGTCAGGGTCAGAGATGTGTTAGTACTAATGTTTTTTCTAGGTGACAGCTGGCTCCAAGTGGGATAAGCAGGTAGATAAATCAAAGTACAACCTTCCAGAGAAGTGTATCAGTCCAAGCTGCATGAAACGAAGAAACGGTTGAAAAGGAATGGCATCAAAGTGTAGACCAAAATGAGAGGAGGGAGGATAAATGAGTTAAGGTTGAAAACTCCTAAGACATCAAAGACTGAAAACATCTGCTCCAGCGTGACCGATTTTCAACCATGTCAACAAATGTCTCCAACCAATGATTCCTACCATCTTGAGGATTCTAGTCATGCAGTCTTCATCTGCTCACATCAGCGGTTGAAGACTTGATTGATTTGTGTCAAGTCTTGACCTGGCCACTCTGAGCCATCTTTCAACCCAATCTTACTTCGGCTAACATAACACGTTGAGCTGAGGAATGCCTCGGCATGCGCAACACGTCGAAACCTCAGTCAGTGATGGTTCATTGTCAAGTACCCTCCGCCTAAACCTCTATATTGCTCATATACTGTGATTCCACCGTACACGGGCAGTGATGCGAAGAAACTCATGGTCTTTTCATATGCTATACTACAGCACCCTTAACAATACAGTGCGAACTGCATCACCGCATACTTGTCCTTTAATAGGTAGTCGGATATCTACCCAATCAGCGCCAGGGATGATGATGCAAGTTGACAAATACCAAACGAACCTTTTTGTATGATGTCTGAGATATCATCAACAACCAACTCATATGATGTGATGCAACTTCTGAGACATTTGAACTGGTCAACGCATTCAACCACACCATTCCGTATCCTTAAACTATTAGTAGTTGATGGAAATCAGTCCTGAAACATCAGTTCACATCTGATAGGTTTTGTACACTTATCACTGGCTTCCTAATGTAGTAAATTATATCATATAGGTCAATTCATATCTTTAAAACTTGTGAAGGAGAATCTAGTTAGCCAACTTTTAAAATAATCTATTCACCAATTAATTATTAACTACTACTATCTAGGTTCATTCAAATCTTCGTCTCAAGATCTTATCCACATTTGAAAGCAGTATTCAATGAATATCGCTGTATAGCAAATAATGGTATAGAGGATGCTTTGAGATCAGAGATGCATGGTAGTATACTTGAGGCATTTATTGCGCTTGGTATGTTTCATTTAAACATATTTATGTGAAGTTTATTTCTTGCATTAAAAATAATATTTTAACCAAGCTTTTTAACGTGTCTTGAAATAATAATAATAATAATAATAATAATAAACATTTATGATTTATCTACCATCTCATTTCATCATCAATGCATCATTCATCATTGTGTATGTTCTGCAGATTGTTCCTGACCTGAATGCATCTGAACAATATAGTGTTTATGTATCTGGTTGGAAGAAAAATGGCATATTTTGCTTTTACGTTAATCAGCGCAGTTATTTAAATCTGAGCTATGTCAAATTTATCATCTTCTACACTTTGTATAAATGGTGGCGTTGAATTAAACAGTTTTCTATGGATAGCGTAATTAGAAGACAAAGTTTATGTGAACAATGTATGATCCATTTTGAGCAATACACTTAGAACAATCTGATCACACATTTAATTATCAAGTCAATATACACATTAAACTGACAAGTGGGAAGAACAAATACAACGATTAAGATAAGCAGGGGATTAAAGTCAAGGAAGATGAGAACAAACAGGACAAAGAGTGATTTAATTGATGTTAATCTTCGTAAGAAAACAAAGTTTACCAAGGTAGGTGTAGTATCCAATCCAATCCAAATTAGGTCTAGTAAAATGCCTGTTTAATTGGATCTATCGTATCAGTACACCAGATACGATGGATGAAGACATCAAATTACTGACCAAAATACTTATCAAAAATGGATGTCCGATGAAGTTTATAAACCGTTGTAGAGGTCAAGTAGCACCGAAGCCAACTCTATACACGGTTCTTAAGAAAGGCGTCCATACACTCTACCATACAGAGGGAGTTGAATAGTATCATTTTGAGATGTAGGCTGACATCAGCCATTAAGGAAACGTATTACGCGGCGAATCTTACCACTGTGAAGAAAACAAAACACATGGTTCACCAAAAACCTAAACACTGCATCAGTGATTACGTCACATCCCATTGTGTTTTCCCAATTTATATATGTGTGGTCACATCCATAGGGAAGAGTAATCGAATCATGCAGTTGAGGGTGGGAAAACATGTACCTAAATTGCTTCAAAAACAGATGGAGTATGAAAACGTGATAAACGCTGATGGGAGACGACCCTCTTCATCTATAACTAAACATATCATAGAAATAGGTCACAAAATTAATGTTCAAGCTGTCAGGGATGTATATTGAGATTTGTGGAGGCCATAACCATACACAAATTGAAACCACCTTTATGTGTACAAAACAACTTGTCCGTGTACACTACACCTACCTTGGTAAACTTTGTTTTCTTACGAAGATTAGCATCAACTAAATCACTCTTTATCCCGTTTGTTCTCATCTTCCTTGACTTTAATCCCCTGCTTATCTTAATTGTTGTATTTGTTCTTCCCACTTGTCGGTTTAATATGTATATTGACTTGATAATTAAATGTGTGATCAGATTGTTCTAAGTGTATTGCTCAAAATGGATCACATATTGTTCAGATAAGCTTCGTCTTCTAATTACGCTGTCGAAATTAATAAAAGGGACTAACTGTTTCAAAGTTTTCCGTAGGTACTCGTGTCAGATAGACGAAATCAATGTGGAATCTTGTACACAAGTACATCGGTTCAAGTTCACATACTGCACAGTAGTATAAAAAGAACACTAGTGGATAGAAAAGGAATGATGTCAAAGTAGAAGGTGTATGACAGACGAAACCATTTGAAGATGAGGGTTGGTACAAATATTTGAGCCTTAGAAGACGTCAAGAATTGAATACATCTGCGCCAAAAGTCCTCAGACACTGATTTCTGTCATCTTAACGTCTTATTTTGGCCGCCCTGAACTTTCTTCCAACTTAATCTAATTTCTTTCAGCTTTTCACGTCGAGGAAGGCGGAATCCCAACTTGGATACAGAAAATGCGTTTGGCATTTCCCAACTTGCATCACCTGTAGCGCCGTCGAGATATCCAACAATCTATCAAGGGATGAGTACACTGCGCTGCAGTTTGTTCAATCCTTTTGTACGACTGAGATGTGGCCGTTAAAAGTAGAATACATGAGGCGGTTATAGGTGTTTGATCATAGGTTTTTCCGTACCATTGCTCGCTTGAGGTAGAATCACCATGTGAGCAGTGTTGAGGTCAGGGGAAGAGTACTAGTTAAGGCAAGCAGGTCGATTGATAGGGTTGTGAACTTTCATTGACTGAGATGGCTCAGACATGTACAGCGCGTCCAGCTGGTCCACTGTGTACTTTGACGAGCCATACTATGGAAAGTTGGATTAGGTTGGAAAAGTTTTCAGAGGCGGCAGACGAAGATGTGGCACCAGTCCTCCTCATCATCATCATCATCATTATCAACATAGGACCAGGCATTACTGCGTAACGGTCCGAGTTGCCACACCTCATATCAGCACATCAAGTAAAAAGGTAGTGAGGTGAAGGATGAAGATAAGTGAATGCAGTCAAAAGAAATATAAAGTACGAGAAGAAAGGAAAGAGGAGTGACAAAATAGTGAGATTCGGTATAGCGTTGTTAAGATGAGGATAATGTGTGTATACATCTGCGCCACTGACTTCGGTTCTGAGCCATATCACCTAGGGTCTCCAACCACTGGTTCCTCTTGTCCCGTGGACCCCAACCACCTAGTCTGCATCGTCCTACATGGCTTAAACCAACAGTCAGAGACTTCATACATTGGTGCCATGTTTTAGTCTGGCCACCTCGGGCCTTTTTCCAGCCTGAACCCACCTCAGCCAACATTGTGTGACGAGGCAATCGGTGACTAGGCATACGTAGTACGTGTCCCAACCATCTCAGTCGATGAAGGTTCACAACCTCGTCGACTGACTTACCTCTTCTCCCTAAAACTCTACACCTAACTTCTGCATTACTCACATGGTGACACCACGGAATACGTCCTATACTACGAAGGCAACGGTGGTCAAACACCTGAAACCTTCTCATGTCTTCCACTTTCAATGGCCATGTTTCACAGCCATACAGTAGAACAGAGCGGACTGCTGTGCAGTACACGCGACCCTTAATAGACAAACGAATATCACGGCGGCGCCATAGGTGGCGCAAATTGGCAAAAGCCAATCGAGCCTTTTGTATCCGTGCAGAAATCTCATCGGCAACTAACCCACCGGGTTGATCCTACTTCCCAGGTAAGTGAAGTGGTCAACACACTCAACCACTTCACTCTCTATTGTTAACCGCGGTACCGCTGAAGACCAGTCCTGGAGCAAAAATTTGCATTTGGGTGGTGAAAATCGCATCCCAAACATTCTCAAATTCCCACTCAAAGTGTTCAGAAGACTCTGCATCTTGTCAGCGTCTTCACCTAACAGGACTATGTCATCTGCATATTCTAGATCTAAGGAAAATTCACCTGTGATCGGGTCAACGTCTTTGTAATTAGGTGACGAGAGGGAAACCTCCATAAGAATATCTATGATAAAATTAAATAAGAATGGGGATAGTGGGCATCCTTGACGGACACCACTTGATGAGTATAGCTCCCTGGACAACTCACCATAGGCTCTAACATGCCCACAAGTGTTCGAGTAGAGAGCTTTCAATAAGGTGATGTACTTACTAGGCACGCCTTTCAGTGACAGACACTGCCATAAGACTTCTCGATCAACGGAGTCAAATGCCGCCTTCAGGTCGAGAAATACAGCTATTGTCGGGCGTCTGTAAGCATGCCTATGTTCCAGGACCTGGCGCAGTGTGAATATTTGGTCGATACATCCACGGCCAGGTCTAAAGCCTGCCTGGTTTTCTCGGGCTTGCTGTTCCCGAGCTCCACTCAGGCGTCGGAGAATTATAGAACTTAGGATCTTAGACACTATGTTTGTCAGGCTGATTCCTCTGTGGTTATCACAAGAGGACTTCTCGCCTTTCTTGAAGACTGGGATGATCAGTGACTTAGACCAGTCGGAGGGGATCGTATTTGATTCCCATATACTGGCTAACACTTCCGTTAGCCTGACTAAGAGAACTCTACCACCATTCTTGTATACCTCAGCAGGTAGTCCGTCTGGTCCTGCTGCCCTTCCCCGTTTCAGGCTACCTACCGCTTTCTCAACTTCTTCTAGTGTTGGGGGACCTGTCTCTATGTCCCATTCAGGGTCCGACTGGATAGCGGGCAGCGCAATGGTGGCTGGAGGCCAGTTAAACTGTTCCTCAAAGTGTTCTGCCCATCGTCCCAGTCGCCTTCCCTGCGAGTGAATCGCCGATCCGTCCTTCTCCGCTATAACCTCACTAACTGTTGTTGACCATTTCCCCCCAGTCTCCTTAATAAGTCTAAATAACTGTCTACTGTTACCGATCGCCGCTGCCTTTTCCATCTCTTTAGCCTTTGCTGCCCACCACTGTTCACGATCGTTGCGCAGACTTTTCGTCAGTTTATTTTTAAGTTGCGCTCGCTCTTCATTGTACTCAGAGCCTGCAGGGATGCATTCACGTGCATCCATTAGTTTGGAAGAAGCTGCTGATATCCACTGGCTCTTTTTAGCCATTATCTTGGAGTCGGCTACAGTCTCCAGTGCTGCTTTTACAGTAGACTGAAGATGGCACCAAGCTTCTTCTGGATGAGTGACAGTCTTTTGTTCCGATAACTGCCTAGCCAACTTCTCACTGAACACGGCTTTGGTGTTTTCGTTGTCCAGCAGAACTCGTAGTGGTTTTGTTGCCAAATTTTTTCTACGTCCATTGAGACGCAGGCATATACGTGCTCGGACCAACGCATGATCGCTGTCCAAACACGTACTCCAGAAGGAGCGGCAGTCTTCCACCGATCCTCTCCAGCGATGACTAATAGCAATGTGGTCTATCTGTGTCCATCGCTGAGTCGAGCTCGGTGGACGCCAGGTCAGACAGTGCCTTTCTTTATGTCTGAAATTTGTGCTGGCTAAAAATAGGCGGTTATCTGAGCATAGTTGTAATAGGCGATCACCGTTATCTGTACGTTCAGCTGGGATTCCGAAAGTGCCACCTAAGTGCCTTTCTGCCTCACTCAGTCTACCCACCTGTGCGTTGAGGTCACCTGCAACAACCACTACGTCCGAACGTTTGGCTTTCGAGAGGAGGTTAGACAGTTTATGGTAGAACTCGTCCTTCACTTCATCCGAACTACAGTCAGTGGGTGCGTAAGCAGAGATTACAAAGAGACAACGGCGAGTCTCACTATTCCTTTTAGTTCTCACTGTGCCGTTCAGCCTCATAGCGCAGAGGCGACTATCAACTGGGATCCAGTCTAGTAGTGAGTTTTCTGCCCTGGTGCTTAATGCTATACCTACACCTGCAAGACCACGAGAGCTAGCTATCGAATCTCCAGAAACTCGAAGGGTGAATTTTGCAGATTCACCAGATTGGTCAGGAGAGGTCAGGTGAATAACCACACTTGGGTCCTGTATGCGTGTCTCACAAACACAGCACACATCCATGCCCGAGTTGCTAGAGTCTTTGCCAACGAAGCCTGTTGGCCAATTTGACGGAGGGTGCGGACATTGAAGGCTCCAATATGTAATTTGGAGCGTGGTTTAAGGAGACCAGGGATGCTGTTCTGTGGACTCAGATCGTTGTCGAAGGCTGCAGAGGTAGGAGAAATTGAAGATGATGCAGCATCATTAATTAAGAGACGTGAAGGAAGATTAGAAGGTAATGATGGAGGAGGAGGATAGCAGTCAGAAGAAACTTGGGTGCTGACAGAGTTGTGAGGGCGGTTGACACTTCCCGGCTGCCCACACCGTGGAAGGCTATTTCTTCTTAAGGTACCTGAAAGAGATTTGTGTGACCGCAGAGCCCATCGGACATCTGCTTGAGGCCTGTCACACCCAGCCTTTTGAGTATGATTATTTTGAATTTTTGTATTTTTGGGGCCGGATGAGCGAAAGGAAACGACAAGTGAACCAACACCGCCGGCCCGGCAGACCGTGGGGCGTGGTGGAGTGTGTTATTTTTGGGGCCGACCTTTTCTAACCCCCCCTTCCACTGAGAAGGCAGCATCAGCTTGGCACTGCTGGTCATCCAAGGGAAACACCTTACTGCTGTCACACCCCATCCAGCTAGCAGCAGTACGACTTCGCCCTCAGACCCCCATCATAGTGTAGCAATTTACACTATAACGGTAACTGCTTTTCGTCTAACCACTACCCAACAGACCTTTCTGGTATGGTAGGACCTCGAGGGAACAAGCGTTCCACCAGCATAGCTCGTTGGGTCATTGTGATATGCAAGCCCGACCACCACGTCAAGGTAGCAGCTATCGGTCGGGACCAGTCCTTATAGTCTCTGACTATTGGTTTGAGTCGTATGAAGAGAACTAGACTGTCTGGTTGGGGTCCCTGAGACGAAGAGAATCAGTGGTTGAAGACTTTTGGTGACATAGTTGAGAATCAGTCACAGTGATGCAGATGTATTCACTTCTCGACATCTAAAGCTTGAATATTTGGACTAACCTTTATCCTCAGATGGTTTATTCTCTCACAAAACTTTGTCTGCTTTTCTATCCACCTATGTTCTTTGTATACTATTGGGAAGTGTGGCAACTTGAGCCAATACACCTATGTGCAAGGTTCTGCGTTGATTTTGTCGCTGAAGTTTCACAACGTCATCGATTGACATGTAAGCTATAGTCCGTATCATCACTTGACGTCTAGTTGATCCTCATGTCTATACTCTCATCAACAGTGCAAGTTCCATCAGGCGAAGATAATAACAAAATGTAGCCTCCTAAACGTTAGATGCAGAAAAGTGTTAGCAGAATGTTACCTTAGAGCTAACATATACCGATGCATAGCTCAATACTAGAGAGTGAATTGAATGAATAAACTTGACAAATTTTCTTTACTTGTCAAGTTATATCAGTCTCTTATACGATATGCTCACTAGACATCTTTGAGGGAAGAAAATGCTTTAAAACTGTAGGTATATCATCACCACTGACTTTGAAAGCTGTTTTTTTCCTTTTACCATCCAAATCAACATAGGACCAGGCATTACTGTGTAGCGGTCCGAGTTGCCACAGCTCAGAACAGTACATTAAGTAGAAGAGCAATGTAGTGCAAGATGGGGAAAAGAAAATTCAGTCAAAAGAAATATAAAGTACGAAAAGAGAGAAAGGAAGAATGAGAGAATGGTGAGATTCAGCATAGCATTAGGATGAAGGTAATGTGTGTGTATACATCTGCGCCACTGACATCGGTTCTGTGTCGCATCATCACCTAGAGTCTCCAACCACCAGTTTCTCTTGTCTTGCGGACCCCAACCAGCTAGTCTGCATCGCCCTGCATGGCTCAAACCAACAGTCAGACACTTCATACATTGATGGCATGTTTTGGTCTGGCCACTTCGGGCCTTTTTCAAGTCTGAACCTACTTTGATCAACAATGTATCACGAGGTAATCAGTGACTTGGCATACGTAACACGTGTCCCAACCATCTCAGTCGATGAAGGTTCACAACCTCTTCTCCCTAAAACTCTACAACTCCTGAATTCTGTGTTACGTGGTGACACCACGGAATACGGCCTATGCTACGAAGGCAACGGTGGTCAAACACTTGAAGCCTTCTCATGTCTTCCACCTGCAATGACCATGTTTCACAGTCATACAGTAGAACAGAGCGGACTGCTGTGCAGTACACGCGACCATTAATCGACAATTGGATATCACGGTGGCGTAAGTTGGCGAAACCCAACCAAGCCTTTTGTATTTGTGCAGAGGTTTCATCGGCCACTGAGCCATCAGGACTGGTCCTACTTCCCAGGTAAGTGAAATGGTCGACACTCAACCACTACACTCTCTATTGTTAGCCGCGGTGGGGCACCGTTGAAGACCAGTCGTGGAGCAACAATTTGCATTCGGGTGGTGAGAAATGCATCCCAAACATTCTCAAATTCCCACTCAAAGTGTTCATAAGACTCTGCATCTTGTCAGCGTCTTCACCTAACAGGACTATGTCATCTGCATAGTCTATATCTAATGAAACAGAGAAGTACTAATACTGTATGTGTATAATGTTTACTAATAAGTCGGTTAACTAGAATGTGAATATCTATCCACTTAGGTAGTCAGCACATATATCCAGGTACATGTAATCTTATCGTGTATACGTTGGATATAACTCGAAATTGATGACAAGTGATAGAGATGATGACTTTGATGTATCCATTATTCAGTGTACTATAAATTTCTCTATGTACTAAGCTATTTTATTCTCCACTACCTTTACACCATTGTTAAAATTATTACTTCAATGGCGATTTACTTGATTTCGTATAGTTCTGGCATCTTAGATCGTTAATACACAGTACCAGAACTTAAGGTATTTCTGTTTATCCATCTATTGACTTGATAGTGGATTTCATTAATGTGTTACTTTTAGTGTTATTGCTTGTATTACACCGTCGTTGATAAGACCGAATTGACCAGCCTCTGTTGGCATATGGGCTCCTATGCGGATGCCTCGGTATGGCCTGTCTTTTAACCATGTTTAGTAATGATGGGCAGTAGCTAGCAGTAGAATCCAGGATGCGCATTTCGTCCTATTTGGGACTCGTTAGCTGGATGTATCTGCTTCCCAGTGAGTGATGTTGTTCCCACGGGGACTCGGACTCGGGAGCGATCGCTTCAAACGCCAGCACGTTATCCACTACACCACCGAGCCACGATAGCCACTTCTTGTGCAACGGGTATAGGTTTTAGTGTTATTGCTTGTATTACACCGTCGTTGATAGGACCGAATTGATCAGTCTCTGTTGGCAAATGTGTTACTTTGTTAAAAGTGCAATTGTTTGATTTATTTCACATTTTTAGTATATATTCATATCTGATTACAGAGATCATAATATTGATAATTAAAGTACTTTTCAAGGATTATATGTTTATTTCGAATTGTATATCACATTGATTCAATGTGCTGCTGCTTAACCAAAACAACAATTTGTTTTATTGAGGTATAAAATTGGGGCGACTTTAAAGGCCACTCTGTCAATTGCTGTAATAACTAATCACGTTTCGGTATTCCGATTAAAAAGTAGTTTTTAATAAAAGCTTCAACTGTTTGCTAGAGTGGTATTTAAAGTCGCTTATAAAAATTGAGGTCATTCAATATTTATTCAGGGTAAAAGGCATACTAGAACATGTGTAAAATGTATTCAGTAATTGAATGTATGAAATAGTGTCTTTAGAGGCCACCTACCAACTGCTGAAATAACCAATCACGTTCCTCGATTTAATGAAAAACTAACTTTTCATACTTAATTCTGACATTTGATTGGTTAATTTAGCAGTCGGCAGGGTGTCCTTTAAAGTCAAACCAAAATACCGAAGCCTGATTGGTCATTTCAGCAGTTGCTAGGGTGGCCTTTAAAGTCACTCATGAAATACCTTAAGATTACGTTAGGTTAATTGTGCTGTGCATTTATAATTGTAGAGACACAATAATAGGTCCATGTAATTACATCTGAACACCTGATGCATCCTTTGTTGCTACACATTAGTAACTCTCATCAATGATCTTTATATATACATATCACATCAACCATTCACCGCTTATACTGTAATGAACGCTACTTACAAGAATGTTCATAAGTAGTACATGAGCCATTGTCGGAAAACAGGAAAGTGATGAAGATCAGTTGGTGAAGATTTTGGAACGAAGAAGACAGAATATCCAACGCAAATATTGAGAGTAAGAATACTGTCTACTTAGATACCAGAAGGGAGAATGTCTGCCAATGTCAATATTTCCATTACCTTAGGCCTGAACTATGTTTCCCCTCTTGTCTGGTAACCTCATCTAAAGTTTCAGTGCAACTAGAGTTTTCTCCAATGTGTAAGTGCAATTACCATCATCATAGTAGGACTCTTTGTTGTTAGTAGTAACTGGTAAATTCTAAAGTTAATTATATGTAAACGCTTACCGGTGATTGAGCCATGTAAGGATTTTCTACGTTGGAAGTATACAAAAGGGATGAGATAGTTTCCCCATTTCAACCTTGGCTCACATTATTTACTGTACTCATGTCAATTTTGTAATAAAATATTCTTTTTCAAACATTTCAGTTCGTTGCACCGTCAATACACCATTGTTCTTTGCTGAGAAACTGAAGCGTTCTATGAAAGGAATTGGAACTGATGATAGAACACTAATTCGTATCATAGTCTCTCGTTGTCAAGTAGATATGGGCTTGATTAAAAGAGAATTTCATACATTAACTGGTAAATCATTGGAATCTTGGATTGAGGTAAGTGCAAAGATTAAATATGTTCATTCTGTGTATAATTCATGATAACCACTTTTTGAGGAGTTATAAAGTTGTTTAAAAAGGAATTTTATCTTTCCTCTGATAATAATTTTTATGATGGAGTATATTTATAGCTAAGGAAGAGGACTTTTTCTGATAGTGTTATGTTCTCCGGATTAGATAGTTTAATTATGAGGCTTTCATTGTCATTCTAGGCGACATGATCGCCAAAAACTTCAGAAGAAAGTGAGCTATAGGGTGTTCTTCACGAATGGCTTAATAGCTTTACTTGGATGATTGATGTATACAGCATCAACTTTTTTCAAGTTAGGTTTTGTTGTTAGCTAGAAAAGCTTTACAAATGACGAGACACTAAACAGATGTTTTGTTTTATTTACGGAGGTCTCAAAAGGTCTAGACAACTGTCCCTGTTATAGTGTGCAATAAACTTCTCCAGATCCTGATGAGAAGCCTTTCACAATCAATTGTTTTGCTGCGAACTTTCCAGAGATGGAATGTGAATCTATGTGTAATTACTAAATTGATTGAAGAGACAAGATCAATAGGATATGTCTTTCTAGAAAGACCGTACATATTTTGACGTTACGATACACCTGTTATCCTACCATGTGTTCTATGTACCGATGAACTGAGCAACCATTAAGAGTGTATTCTGAAGGTATTTTTTATTCTCAAGTTATGAAGTTAACATGACAGAAGCCAGTTTACAGGCCTCATCAAATTGATAATTGCAGAGAAACGTAAAAGGTTTTAGCAGTATTGAATGGTACAGAAGGAGGACATTAAACTCTATCATGATATCAAGTATCTAAATGTTATGAAAATAGCAGGAAAATATCACTTCACAGTACATACACATCGTTCTGAGTTTAAGTCATTCCTGCTCACAGTTGGTTCTTCACATCAAACGGCGCAATATTTGGTGTTTGCGTTATGAGTAGTCGACATGATTGACCCATCTGCAAGACCTAGTGTTTCATCAGATAAGCGTCTATTTTAACAGTAATTCTTATGTTTGTAGCTCTATTGACCAACTGTAACTTACTTCAACGATTTCAGGAATAAGTATCCATACAATCATTTACTCCAGGTGAATGTCTGAGTCCAGGCGTTTCTCACTCTTCAAGTGTTATTTTTTCCAGCAATTCAGATTGGCAGTACTGAAAACATTTGTTGTGGTGCAAGTAATTAAAGACTGGAGTCATCGTCGTTCAACAGTGGTGAATAATTCACATGTGTAAAACTTCATAGACTTCACATTAAAGTATGCAATATCGTCAAGGAGATACATTGGCTGTTAATTGAATTCTATTAGATGGATTGATACAAGACAAAGTACTAGAGAAATCTGTTGCATAGCATTATTATGGATGTGTTGCCGTTAGGCAAAGTGATCTGTCGAGTTCGATTGTTTATCCAGATTTCCTCTGCATTTGTCATGGACCAGAAATCGGAGACCAGTTATTGTGCTTGAGATTTCCTATGTGGTGTTGTTTAGGGTACTGATATGGAGGTGAGTTGGTTATGAAGCTGTTCAAGAAACAGGAAATCGGGGGAGGGCCAGTTGGATACTTCTAACATCAGTTTTCAGTATTACGTACGAAGTAGGATTCTCAGTAGGTCGATACTTTTTGATCGAACTAATGCTTAAGACTTTCTCGCCAGGCTGATACTACATTATATATATATATATATATATATATATATATATATATATATATATATATATATATATATATATATATATATATATATCAGGAAATGTATTCGTCGTCATGATCTAGTCCTTCTTTACAACCACAATAGTTATTCTTTTATACTAGGTATATATATACCTGTAGAATTTTCTTCATTATTTACTGTAGAAATTGGTGAATATGCTTCCCTAACTGTGAACATGGTTTCCGTTAGAAACCACCCGCCAGCCAACATCACAGAAGTGTCATGAACTAGTGAAACACACTACTGATCAACTTAAGTAGGTAGAAACCAACCCAGTTGATCTACAGATTCCGCCAGATAGCCAGATTAGAGTCATCATGGACTACTGTTGTGTTTGTCCATAGATCACATCCTGTTGACACCACAGTTGAGCAGTTGAAAAACTACTCACCTACGAGAAATATCAAAATGGACCATTCAGTTTGTATATCATCATCAAAGTGATCATTAAGTCAGCTAGCCAGATTCAGATGATCTGATCTGAACAGTTGAAGTGAAATAAAAATCTGTTCGCCAGTCGGACCTCGTAGCTCAGTTGGTAGAGTATCGGACCGGAAACCCCATGGTCGCTGGTTTGAGTCCGGCTTGAGTCCAGATTTTCATTTCACCTTCAATCATCACCCAGTATTAATGAATCTCTACTAATGCCGTTTACGCAAGCGCGCATCTGATGAGCTCGGCTCCAAACGAACGAAACGGCTGTCCGGTGTTTAGATCACTCTGATCTGGCTGGATGACGAAATCTATAGATCAGCTTGACTGGTTTCCAACTATTCAACTTGTACAGTAGTATATTTCGTTTTATTCCTCTGTTAGTCCGCTTACTTCTCCTGCCTTTGTTTCTCCTCCCCTTCGCAACATCTTCATATCTTTGCAGTGGTGTTTTGCGTATTCTCTGATATCCATACTGTACCAAGTGTGTATTCTCAGTCATGCTGGTAGATGATCTTTGTTAAGTGAAGTTTTGCCATTTGTTACTACCACACTGTTCATCCTTCATATTTCATTCGTTTCGTCAATTTACTGTACTCGATCTATGGATGGCTTTTTTTCTTCTTAAGTAGATTGGGTCTATATCCATGAGTTTTTTAAGTGACTTTCGTTTGGAGAATACCATGCTTCCAGAAGATTTCTTACAGCTTTGGAACTTATTCTTCAGAGGATTTCCATATCCTTCCATTTGGAATTGTGATCATGATTGTCTACAGGTATTGAAATCGAGAAGGCTGCGTCAGCTTGTTGGTGTCTATGCTTTTTTTTTGAGTAGTCCAATGAACTAAGTTTTGCCAGACACATTGATAATAGTACATTGTTTAGACACTGGATACTAACCGACTTCATATCGTCTCGTTATAAATACTAAACAAATTCTACTGACGATTTTGTAATGTGATCTCTGACTATAGCACTAGGGTGGTGAGAGCTTGAATCTATCGCAGACATCAGTTGCCATGACGACTGTCAACAAGCCTCCGTCCACCAAACACTGACAATAAACTTGACTGAAAACGAATAATGTGACTGTTCAGTAAAGTCGTTTTGGCTAACAAAATATCCAGATCGGTGTGGATGACTTTTAGTTGGTTATACTTTTCATAGACTTCAGTATTCACTGTAACAACAAGTGCAGCAGTTTACTATGAAAAAATGTTATCTATTGGAGAACCATCGAAAACCTGAGAGCAATGAACACCTGTTTCATCCTAGTATGGGACTATTCAGCAGTAAGTACCTACGACCTCGCCAGAGATCGAACTCAGGATCTTAAGGTTTCACGACGAACGCGATTTAGTGCAGCCATCCACCAAGATCTTCAGTTGGTATCCGCTTCACAGTTCACAACCGCTTAGTAGACAGACATCTGGAAACTTGTTACTAATGCACAGTATACAGTAATATAGTTTGAGGTTCACATCAGTTAGTGAAGCATTGGGTAACTGTCTGGAAAAAATTCAACTACAGTTTATTTCAATTATTTGCTGAATAATTCGCTAGTCTTCAATGTACAATATTTTGTTCATATTGAATATTGAATACTCTATTGCAATTATTCTTTTTTCTTTCCCTCATAACAGGGTGATACAAGTGGAGATTATCGTCAATTGTTATTGGCACTTGTTAGTGGTTAATTAAATTACATTTTATATACTACATTGAAGAAATCATGTGAATAACTGAAACCATAAGAATATATTACTATGCTTGATTATACTATTTGTGCAGTTAATTACGTAATTCTTGGTTTATCTAATCAACCATTGCATAATCTTTATTTTTGATCGACTGTTTACATGTTCAGTTTCGTCTACGTATATTGTATTGTATGTCTAAATATTTAAATTGATTACAAATACACCCAACACATACATACACACAAATATTCATTCATACACATGTATACACGCTTTCTCTACTCCACATATATGCACATGCATACACGCATGCACATACATGCACGCAAACTACGCTTTCTCTTCTCCACACATACACATACATACACACACGCTTTGTCTGCCCGACATATGCACACACATACAGGCGTACACATATGCACACGCTTTCTCTGTTATTTTTCTGCAATGCACATTTTTGGGAATCAGTTGGTCTTTGCTCTCTGATGTTAACAGTCATAAATGATGACTCATCAGTTAACAGTAAAAATAGGATGGTTTTGCTTTTTTCCGCTTTGTTCACTTTCACCAACTGTAATTCATTTCATATTTATTAATTCAACTAAACAATAGTACACTGATAGATCAACTTCATTTGATTCTGCGTAGTTATTGTTTTTCGGTTGTTTTACCGCATAGAAAACGTGAAATGCACATCATGGGGACGATGACGAAAGTAGTAACAGATTAACATATGACTTATTTTCGTCTTTACATTGTTACTATTATATTTTGAGGGAGTTGTGGAGATTTGGAATTATTTCAAGTTGTTATTCATCGTAGACTGACATTAGTTGGAGGAACAAAGGAAACCTGGGAGCACTGGACAGCTGGTTCGTCCTAGTATGGGACTCCTCAGCAGTGCGCACCCACGACCCCACCAGCAGGGATCGAACCCGCGACCTTCAGGTCCCGTGGCCAGGGCGTTACCATTGAGCCACTGGGTCAGAATCCAATGCTCCATATTTCCAACTTCTGTTAGCTCACGATATATAGTGCAACCGCCACCTAATGTCATTGTTGAGTAACTGTCCTCATGACCATGAGGCTTTGCCCCCACCGGTCACGACTTGTCATTGGAACTTCGGGAATACTTCTCGAAACTAGTCACCAATGAGCACCAGTTCAATTAAATTTTGAGGGAGTTGTGGAGATTTGCAAATATTTCAAGTTGTTATTCATCTTAGACTGACATTAGTTGGAGGAACAAAGGAAATATGGAGCATTGGATTTTGACCCAGTGGCTCAATGGTTAAGCGCTGGCCGCGGAACCTGAAGGTCGCGGGGTCGACCCCTGCTGGTGGGGTCATGGGTGCGCACTGCTGAGGGGTCCCAGTTACTATTATAGTTGGAAATATTATGTAAGGACAGTTTTGAAAATGAAGTTTAACAACAAACATGAACAATCTGATCACCTCTCTTTACTCTCTGTCATGTATGTGGTAGTAGTAAGTTGATGAATTATTGTAGAAGTGGTGGTAGAGATGTGACTTTTGGATTTAGGGGGTGGGGGGTTAATGACTGATTTCAAGTTCGGATTCCCCACAGACTGACATCAGTTGGAGGAACAGTACCTTTGAGCCACTGGATCAGAATCCAATGAGCCATATTTATAACTTCTGTCAGTTGACGACGTAGCGCGACCATCACTCAATGTCATCGTTAGATATTTGTCCTCACGGATACCAGGTTTATCTTACGGGTCATGACTTCTCCATTAGGACTTCAGGAATTCACCTCTCCAAGCTAGTCACCGATGAGCTCAGTGGTAATGTACTGGCCATGGAACCGGAAGGTCTTGGGTTTGAGCCCCGATTGGGTCAGAGTGCTCACTGCTGGGAAGTTCCATACTAGGACAAAACAGCTATCCATTGCTTGCAGGTTTTTAACGTTCCTCCAATTGATGTCAGTCCATGATGAATACCTACTTGAAAACAGAGATGTGACCGTTGAGATTTCCGTTCGTATTTGAAAAATTGGAGTGGATATACACTCACCTGCGTTGCTATAAGCTTGAATGGAAAAGGGTTGACTCTAAATACTTGCAAATTGCACGGCTAAATAACATTTCAACTACACAACTGTAATGCCAAAAGAGCTTCTCTTGGAAATCCCCCGCAGGCAAATATGACATCTGACACACGGAAGTGTACTGCGCTAACGAAATATACTACTGAGCAACAAAATGAGCAGTCAGAAACCACTCATGAGAAGGATCAGTCTGTCTAATCCAGTCCTACACGAGGTCGGTCACGGCCTGTATAGCTCAGCGATATGATGTGTCTGACTACAGATCTGGGTGACGTGGGCTTGAGTCTCTTAGGAAGCGTCAAGGTTACAGATATATCTTGCTGACAAGTAGCAAAAAGCACAAAATCTTGGTTTCTTACCGATCACCTTCAGCTAACTAACATTATTAGATTTCTGTTGCCTGAAGAAATACGGTGATTGTTAACATAACACTGTAAGAAAGTAGATAAATAGGTCCAGGAGGATTTACCAGTGTCCTGTCCTCACTTCTACGACATACTATCAGAATGTATGTATTTCATAATGAGTTTTTCATTTCAGTCAGTAATGCACCACGTATTGTCTACTTTTGGTCTACCTAGATTCTTATAGGATCTTCAGTGGAGCAACTGATAAAAGTACTTAGAATAAAAGAAACTGAATACTCTAGACTTCACTGACTGGTTTTATAGTAGAAATATCAGATGGTTTGTTATCACAGATGAAAGGTAGCGTATTCCAGTTTCAAAAGAACTTTATCCCATATTTTGTACTATCTTATTCTTAACGATTAGCCTTTGAAATAACTATACAGGAAGCTTTAAGATGACTTTGGTGTTAGCTTCTAACAATCAAAACAATTACTAGACCTAGTGTCAATGAAAACACCTTTTGATGTTACCTTTCAAATGAAGTAAGCACATATATAAACTCTAGGAAATCCACTGGTTAATTCACACTGTATAATACCCTTTCATCAAATCGTCCTCACACATATTATGAGCAGGTTTACAAACTGTAACTAGTAGGCTACAGCTTACCGGTGAACATGTGAGTTGGTTGGAGGTAACCAGTAGGAAGCCCTGCTTCACCTAGGTTTTGTGCTTGTTGGCAATCGTCAGCAAGGCGTATCTGCAATCTCTACGGAAGTGTCACCTAGTGTTGTAGTCATCAGCGTTACCACTGAACTACTCGGCTCGCGAATGACCTCTTGTAGGATTGGGTTACATACATTCATTGGTCATGGGATAACAGTCAATTATATGTTGTGCGGATCGAATTCTATCGATCATATGTGCAAATATGATCGATTGCTCTCCCGTGACCGATCAATGTACATTAACGGTGAACAGTTAGAGAACTACAGTTGTTGTTTGTATTATCCCATTGCTGATTGGATCGAATTCGATAGGTCTCTGTTGGCATATGGGCTCTTGAACGAATGGCTCAATATTTCCTGTGTTTCAGCTTTATATTAATGATGGATAGTGGTCGGCAGTGAAATCCAGGTCGCGTTTCGTCCTATTTAGGACACTTCAGCTGGGTGTACCTGCCTTCTAGTGAGCGGTGTGGTTCTCACTCGAACTCGTGGCCGTTCGTTTTAAACGTCACAGAGTTATCAACCTGCCCACCGAGCTACAATAGCCACTTCTTATGCGACGGGTATAGTTTTAATATTGTTGCTAGTATTTAGGAACAACATCACTCACTGAGAACCTCGCCTACTTAACTAGTTCACTAGTTACTAGCCGATCCTAAGCCCAGAAAAACAGGGAAAGTTGGACATAAGGCTGCAACCCTACCCCGTAAAACCAATCCAATCGCTAAAGAAACTTTAAACCACAAAGTTAATCTAAGAAATAAAATCAAACTTATTCTTAGCTGGAATCGGAGAGGTGAAACGGTGCTAGTTGGTGAAAGCCTTCGGGAAGCCAATTGGCCGATGTGTTTTCTCTCGATGGAAGTGAAAGTAAGAACGGGGAAATGGAATGTCCGAACAATGTTTGAAGCTCGCTGGCTGGCAAGGCTGCCCAGATTGCAAAAGAGATGGGAAGGTATAGCATAGAAGTGCTAGGAATCTGCAGATGGAATGGAGGTGGACTCTCCAAACTGTCAACTGGAGAGTCAGTAATCTACTCCGATGCTGTCAACCGCATGACAACCACGAGCACGCTGAGTTTTGAAGTGGTTATCATGATGTCCCAAAGAGCATCAAAGGTTCTCAGGCAATGGGAGTCAATCTCCTCCAGGATCAGGATCATGACAGCAAGATTCAACTCATACGGAAGGAAGGAAAATCACAATCATACAATGCTACACTGCGCGCCTACAAATAATGCAGGTCAAGAGAAGAAGGAGGAATTCTACAGACAACTGCAATCAGTAATAGACAAGACCCTACCCCAGTTGGCGACATCAAAATCCTGTTGGGTGACGTGGAATCAAAACTGGGAGTGGACAAAACAGGAAGAGAACTAATGATGGGTCGAGAAGCATTTCGGTGAAATGAATGAAAATGGAGAATTGTTTGTAGATTTCCGCGCATTCTACAATTTGGTGATTGGAAGCAGTGTGTACAAATACAAGGATATTCGCAAGGCAGCGACATGGATTTGATTTCACCGGATGAACACACTACACTAAAAATCAGATCGACTTCATCTCAGTCTGGAGAAAGTGGAGACAGCCTCCTGGACACAAGATGAAGAAGGGGATATGTAGGTTCAAACGGGTCACTATCTACTGCAAGGAACCTACCTTCGAAATCAAGTTGAAAGACTTCAAAGAAGCTGTTTATAGGCCACAGTTCAAGTTCAACGCCCGGAACAGGTGAAACACGAAACTACAAAGGACATTTTCACATCAGTCAGCCATCAAGACAGAATGAGAAATATTGAGGAGCATCCCTGAAGGAACCTGCGCAAAAGAACACTGGAACTCTGTGGGAG